AAACAGGAAATCGCACAGTATACCTTGAAGATATAATTTTTGGAATACATATTCACCTTTCAAAGATAATAATCCATTATATCTGTTAGATGCTAATTTTTCATTTGAAAATTACCAGCTATCAATTTGGTTGTTTATGAGTCAGCCATGTGAGGTAACTAACAGTAGCAATTATTATCGATTAAATATACTTATCGGGCATCATAAATTCTAGATTTAATCTCAAATAATAACAATTGGACAAGTTGACACGAAATAAATCACTGGCTACATGATCATAAGGCGTCAACGTCATAATTTCACAGAATGGCATTTTGAATACTTAGAATTAGAACACCGATATACAGGGTGTCCCAAGCTGATCTTCCATTAGAAGCTTTTAGAAAACTACAATATCTAGATGGAAGGTTTTTTGTACGATTAAAAATATTTCCAATATGGCCGGCACTTCACAGCTTCTCTGTAAAATTTTATGAATTTTGATATTAAACACTCTACCGGGTGCGTCTCAAAACAATAAATAAACAATATATGTAATTTAATGTAATGAATAATGTAAATAATATGAATATGGTTTATTTGAAATTGCAACATGTAATTAATAACGACAATTTGACTCGAAATACCAAAAGTATGGTATCAAATTATTCGTAAAAAAATGCTTTTTCCAAATATGCTAATAAGCCACCCTCGTTCCATTATAAAAATTTGAGATATGATTAAAAGTACGATTTGAACATCTTTTAACCAGCCAGGACAAGACACTAAAAACATTAGACGATCAAATATATTTTTCCAAGGCTCTTTGATTAAAAATTAGTGTTTTGAACACAGCCATGACACTCTAAATTGAAATTTAAAATACAATTTTGTTCAAAGCGCAAATGTCAAAAGTTGACAGATGATATGTCATTCTATTCAGAATGCCATTTTCTATCGAATAGAGTAAAAAAATACCGAAGGTGCCATTTAAAAATCAAAAATTGTAGTTATTTCCGGTGAAACAGAAAGTGGGCGAAAATAATTAAATACGTCAATCAATCCTAATTTATGTCATATACTAACATACCTGGAAAATCAAAATATCCCTACAAAGTGGAATAACTCAATAATTATCCTTTTACATAAAAAAGGAGACATAGCAGACCTGGAAAATTACAGACCAATTAGCCTTCTTAACCATCTTTATAAACTATATACCCGAATTATAACAGATAGACTAGAGGCAAAATTCTAGAGGACTTCTACCAACCTAAAGAGCAAGCTGGTTTCCGTTCCGAATTTGGTACCAACGATCATCTGCAGTGTTTAAAAACCTTAATAGAAAAAACCATCGAATACAATCGTCCCCTAGCACTGATATTTGTCGATTTTAAAAAAGCGTTCGATACGGTAGAATTACCGGCCATCCTAACAGCGCTACAAGAATGTAGAATCGACCTCGATATTGTAACATAATAAAAACATATATGACAATGCTACAACAACTGTAAATCTACATTCCACAACTAACCAGATAAAAATAAAAAGGGGAGTTAGGCAGGGCGATACCATGTCGCCAAAATTGTTTATTACTGTTCTTGAGCATGCATTCAAAATGCTGGCTTGGCAACAAAAAGGAATAGTTATCGATGGAGGGATACTCAACCATCTACGCTTTGCGGATGATATCGTTATAGTGTCAGATAGTCTGGGAGAGATCAAAGACATGCTTCAAGAACTTAACGATGCATTACACGAGATTGGACTAACAATAAATTTTAACAAGACTAAGATAATGTCTAATATGGTGCCCAGCGAACACATACAAATTCACAAAAACAGAATAGAATTAGTCCACAAATATGTATACTTGGGCCATGAGATCAAAATAAGCAGAGATAATCAAACCTGTGAACTGGCTAGACGAATTACCTTGGGATGGGCGGCTTACGGAAAAATGAGGGACATCTTTAGAGCAAATATCCCAATACACCTGAAAAGAAAGGCATATAACCAATGTATCCTCCCGGTTTTGACCTATGGCGCCGAGACACTCACTCTAACAAAATCAACCGCAGAAAAATTGAGAGTGACATAAAGGCGGATGGGGAGATCTATGATTGGCCTGACTTTGAGAGATCGAGTAAGAAATGAAGAGATACGCCGACGTACGGGAGTGGATGACATTATCCAGCGAATCACAAAACAAAAGTGGAGATGGGCTGGACATATTGCTAGAATGGCAGACGGGAGATGGACCAAAAGACTTATAGAGTGGAGACCAAGAGCCGACAAGCGTAGCCAAGGCAGACCTCCCACCCGATGGACCGACGACCTGAAAGGAATAACAACTAACTGGATTGCAACAGCTAAAAAACCGCGAGAACTGGAGACGTTTAGAGGAGGCCTATGTTCAACTATGGACGTGAAAGGGGGCTGCGTGATGATGATGATGATGACTAACATACCAAATCTCGTATTTTTATCTGAAAATATAGAAAAGTTATAGGGGGTGAGCCACTTTTGAGACACACCCGGTATACCTACCATATAACCCATTTTGAGAAAAAAAAAATATTAAAAATTTTTGAACGAAAGAAACTGCTTGTAAAACAAATTTGTATAGCCTAAACGTCAAATTTAGTGATTACTATAGCCACTAACATATAATAACGTTCTAGATGCTTTACCAGATTTACCGGTTTTTTATTAGCATAAAAAACTATAGTCCAATAGTCTGTCCCACGGGAAGATCCCTGACAGTAACAATTGTGTCTATAATTTTAATCCAAATTTTCTGAAATTTTTCATCTGTCAAAATCTTGCCTGACTTGTTGGACAGACTTTATATATTTTTTTTTTTTAAATTGCCTCTAGCCACTCCCATACATAACAATTTGAGTTTGTTCTTTTGGTTGGTTAGGTTAGAATATAGGTTAAAATTTTATGAATGTGAATATAAGGCCGTGGCCCAACATAGCTGCACGCGTAGAGCGGAGCGGAGCGGACAATAGAAAAATACGCGTCAATCCGCTCTGTATGTGGGGCCACTTCCATTTAAGGTAATATCAGACACAGCTACTTTTGTTGCGCAATTTTTTTGCAGCCGCTGCAGAAGTTGCATACAGTGTTCATACACCAGCAGTAAGTATCCCAAAACATGCAGTTTTTATGCTGCATCAGCTGCCTAAAAAACACATGCTTTTCATATGTTCACACCAAAGCGCTACTTTTGCAACATGTTTTGGTAGCCGCAGCCTTGGAGGGGCAACATTCAACAGTACACCACCCACAGCTCAAGGTATCGTGTGTGTACCTTTTGGGAGACGGTTGTAGTTATAGTTAAGTAAAATTCCCATTTTGTTTTGTAGGTTTAGTAGGAAATAATTCCCATTTTGTTTTGTAGGTCTGCACCGCAAGCAAATTTGGAACTTTTCATTTTTGAACGTTCTTTCGAATATTGTGCACGCAACGTGTGAATTTTCTTTTTTATGTCTTCATCGAGCATATATGTAATTCAGAAGAAATTTCCGAAATGGCGGCTCATCTTTTCATTTGGTTCTGATAGAATGAACTTTTTACGTTCCATAAACACTCCCTTGCTTCTACCGCTTCTATTAAACATTTTACTTGTTCTCTGTTCCAAATAGCTTGATTTGACTTCGACGACATCGCAATTTGTCGGTTAATTCTTTACTAAATACCTACATATAAATCCTGCAGTTAACTGAAAAAAAGTGTATACATTTCGGGCATACCAACAGAATACTGCACCGATGTCCGCAGTAAAAGTTTCAACTGATTAGTAATCTTTTGCTGCACCTTGCAACCTTCCTCAACAACTGTTCACACACGGCTATTTCTTAAACTGCGCGCAGCAAAAAAGTAGCCTACGCAACCAAGCTGCGATCGCAACGTTGCAGGTTGCTTAGGTATTCACACTTGCAGCAGATCAAGTTGCGCAGTTTTTTAATTTGCGCAACAAAAGTAGCTATGTCTGATATTACCACTTCAATTCATTCAAACGCTTCACGGTTCTCTCCGCTCTACGCTACGCTAGGTTGTACGCCGCATGGGGACCACGCACTAAAGCCGGAACCCCATTAGGCCACACGCGACGCTACGCTATCCCACGTAGGCCCACGTGATCCCACGTGTTGCGACGTGGGAAAGAGTGTACATATGAGATCTGGGGCCGACGAATCACACGTGTGATGGCGTGGGGTGTCGTGGCGTGGCGTGACGTGGTGTGACGTGGCGTGGCGTGTTGGCTAATGGGGTCCTGGCATTAGTCTTTTTTTACATAGCATACATTTTTAACAGCGCTATTTCTTTTTAAACTGGGCGGCAGCCAAGCAGCAGAATAAAAAAAACAATGCTCAATAACACTGGCAAATAAAATGTTAGACTTAAATCATTTTGATTTTAGAAAAGACATAAGACTTAAGACTTAAGTTTTTATTTTAAACTGACTTGTTGCAGTTCTGCTTCGAATGTTATTAATACGGTAATATAAATTTCTAATTTCTGTGTTTTTAATGGTAGTCAGAGTTGTAGTATTTAAATCATTTAATACTAAAATAGAAAAATTGTATCTATTCATTATAATAGGTTAGTATCTCTTTAATTTCAGGACATCGTATTTTTTATTTAAATATTTCTATATTCTATTGTAAAATTCAAAAGAAAAAGAGATTAATTATTTATTAATTAACTATAGATAATGCGTCCTTACTAATAATACCTTTCTATCGTAAATCAAATGACAAATGACTATTACATCTTCATACTGCATTATCAATTAGTCAATTACGTTTTTATATCAAAGATAACAATTGTGAATAAAATAGCAACTGACGGACGGAGATACCTACAACGTACATTTAAAGTTGTATAGCCTTTTTAAAACAATTCGTATCATCTACCTCATTATCGTGTCTGATTCTATTCCACCTAGGATATAAGAACATCTCTCTCTGTTTGTATTGTTGATAATAGGCTTTTATATTTTTCACTAGGTTTTAAAATGAAAATTGCTATTATTGGTGCCGGTGCGGCCGGTCTTGCAGCCTTAAAATATGGACTTGAACAAGGCCATGCGTGTACAGCCTTCGAACAGGCGGAAAATATTGGTGGTACCTGGAATTATACAGAACGGACCAATATTGATGAGTATGGATTACCTGTTCATTCTTCCATGTACCAAGGATTGAGGTAAGAAATATTAAAGAATAAAATCATTCGAGTGGCGAAAAAAACTCTATACGAGTTTCTTATTTAGAATTTTCAGTCGTTTTTTATAAAATTGGGGCAACAATAGCGCATATTTTGCAAAAAACGCAACACTAAAATTTTTCGTCAAATTTAATGTGTTAAATATTTTTTATTTTTAGCCCTATTTTCCTGATTTTTTTAGCAAACTGTATATAAATATATCAAATTTAATCCATAAACTCATTTTAAAATAAAAGTTTGTTATAAACTTTAGTATTTGGCTTATTACACAGGGTTAATTGAAGGGTTGTGTTTTACGTTAACTTTAAAACACTCGGTGCCATAATTTCGTGAATACATTTTCCTAAAACATTATTTTATGATCAAGATCATGACTTCCGAACATTTTGTTTTTTAATTCATGTCAACAAATGCGTTTGTTAATTTTTAAGAGCAAAATACTCTTGCAACAAGCAATTTGCAATTTTTTCAATAATCTTTATTTTTTAATGGTATTTTTAATATAAGGAGATGTCTATTATCGTAATGTCATATTTATAGTTACGTTTTATGTACCTACAAATCTAGCGACCTGTTAATACACTCATATTCTTGCCTCGAACCCTGCTGACTTCTTGTTTGAGGGTTACTAAGTCAATGTTAGTTGAAAATGTCTGCTTCGAAACCAAATAGGAATACTTAAAAAATATAACTTGTTATAATGTAAAAAAAGAAACCCATAAATAGTATTATTATTGTATTCGCCTTGTTAAATAGCTAAATCAACTAAAAATATTTAAGTTTTAAGTAAACATAAATATGCCACGCGTTTCCTTTGAAGGAAATTGATTTAAAAAAAAAATGTTAAATTGTTAAATTTTTTAAATTATTAAATTGACAAGAAAAATTATGAAATTAAAAATTTATAGAGAACCGAAAAAAATAAATAAAAAAAAAACGTCTTATTAAACTGTGGAGTGTGCGTGCAAATAGGCCCTAGCTCTGCCGAAGAGATGGGGTGGGTTTTAAGCGCCACTGGCTTTGCACAGATAAGCCAGAAAACCCCCAAGATATTCTTGGAATCTAACAAGACTTGTTATTAAAAAAAAATATTAAAAGATAAAAAAATTAAGGGATGAATGAAACACTAAAAGATAAATTAATAGAGTATTGTATAATATTAGCAAAAAAATAGACAAATTTGATGACGTTGTATATACTAAATTTAATTAAAAATTGAAAACTGAACCGTATGTATGTACCTTGAACTCTGGAACCTTGAATCAATATAAGATAAAAAAGGTAAGTAAGAAAGGAAAACAAATAATAGGGAAGATAAAATTTCAGTAAACGTTTACTTGTTTCTGCTTCAAACCTGATCCAGCGACGTAGTTGCCAAGCTCAGTGCTCAGAAGGATACCACTTCCGAGGCAATACTGGAAAAAGTCTGTGTCCAGAAAAGGCAAGCCAGAAAAATGCTTCGTAGAAAAATCCTCGTATAAAAGAAAAATCCTGGTCCAAAAAGTTCTGGTCTCTTGGTGGAAAATCCTGGTCTTAAAGCCTCGTCCAAAAAAAGCCCTAAAACCAAAGGCAGTATTAGGTTTACGAAATAAAGAAAGTTACCTAGAAGGGATAGGTGAAACTAAAAAACACAGCTATAATTAATTAAATAATCAAAACACGTTTCAACTGTAGAAATATAAAAAATATCATAAAAGTTACCTTGCTGGGCTTCTAAAAATCTAGTTTTTTTCTAATAGATGGATGTTCAAATTGCTGGATTCAGAAAGCAAAATTACTGGAACAGGTGGTGGTTTAAAGTTCCTCTTCCCAAGAAAATCGACGATGACAAAGAAATAAATCAAAAGGCTTTCCCTGTTAAGAAATAATTTGAATGGTAAATCACTAGACAAAATGGCGATCAAAAAAACTTACCAGCCACGAGCAGATTAAAATCCGTATAAAACAGCTCCAGAGATACTTTTAAAGGTAAAGGTACAACTCAAACAGCAAAAGTATCCCTTATAGTTCTAGTCAGTGATTATCCCCAACAAACCCAGGTAAAACAGGAAAATTCCAACAAATTACACTGACTAAAACACCTTTGAAGCTGAAGGGAAAATGCAGAAACCCCATCGATCAAGATGAAGTTCCGCTCCGAAGAAATTTGACATACTGCAAAGTTGCAATTTAATATTCACAGAATTTAGAAACATTGCCAAAATAAACATTACTTAAGGTAAAGTAAATTCAATAACCATTCAAACACAAACATACCAAACCCATGCCGGTATGATGCATACACAATATTACAGAAAGGATGTCGGTGCAATCAGCAGGTATCAGAAAATACAAACATCAGAACCTAAAGGAAGTACTGCCCAACCTGACAACAGCGTGTGTGCGCCAGATTCGCATCTCAACTGATCTGAGCAATTCAAATATAAATGACATTGTGTAATAATAATTGTATACAATTTGCAGAAAACAAATGATAAATTTCAAAAAATATGCAGGTAAATAACTTCATTTTGAGCTCTATAATGAAATATAGGATCAAATAATATTCAGAGATAATCCACACTTGATAGAAATCTTCTAAGATAATACAAGGGCAAGCAGTACCGCAAAACTACTAGAAATTACGGCAAATAGGCTAACATTCAGAAACATAAACAAATTAGAAATTAAAGGTAATATTTTGAATTTGATTTTATTAGCATTAGATAATAAATTTTAATTATATTTTAGATTACTGATTGATTACTGACTTGAGATATGGCATGGAAAGCAAAATAAATTAAGCAAAGGAGAGTAAGAAAGATAATGAAATATGGCTATGTGAATATTTGTTTATAAAATTAAATGCAATAAATTTATTTATCAGCATAAATAAAGAGTTTGATCTAACTTGTAAGAAAAGTGGTATATATTTTTAAACCTAGTTAAAAGCTAAATTTGGACATGCAGCCCCTCTAACAGAGGAAAGCTACGATTAAAAAGCAGAAAAACGATAATTAAGACATAGTCAAAAATAGTAGAATACTGTCCTGTTTCTGAATGTAAACACCATTAATACCAATAATATAAATAACAAGTGAATAATATATTACTTCGACGTAAGTTTGAATTGAAAATTAAGAAAATGCTAATAAAAATCCAAATCATAAATAGCCAAAGAAAAAGGCCAATAAAAAAAGCACTGGTTACGCAAAGATAACAAAAGCAAAATTCGGTAGAAGGCACACCGTCAAATCAAAAAATAAATTACTACAGAAACCCATAAAATTAATAATGAGAAAAGTTAGAAATTGATTCATGAACAACGGTTCAGTTAAATCATAATTTAGATTAAATCATTATACAAAAATATAAAAATCATAATACAGATAGATCAAATTTGGTTCACAAGAAATATTCACAAATACTTACACAATCAAATACTTATATAGCTATCTAAGAAAATGCAGAAGAGGAAAAGAAATTAATTATAATAATATATAAATCAATAATTAATCAGAAAAATCTAGGCGAGATAAATGTGAAGAAAGAATTAATACATAAAAAAAATATACCATCATAATTACATTACATAAAGCAAAATTGGTTTAGATGTTAGCTACATTCATCGATTGCAAACGACGGATCATAAAACGGTTTAAGTTCTTGAACATGCCAGATACCTTTAGAATTACCTAGCTCATCCTGTAGCTCATATGTCCAGGATCCTATTTTCCGTTTTACTAAGAATGGTCCTACAAATCCCGGAGCTAATTTAGCACTATAATATTTTGATGCATCAGATAATACCTTATTCTTTCGCCAAACCTTATCATCAACATTAAACTGTAATGGTCGCCTTCGAAGGTTATAGTGGTTGGCCTGACGAGTTCTAGCGGACTGAATCTTATTTTTGATCTGCTCATAAAGTTTTTCAAAACCTACTTGACGGTCCTTCACATAAGTATCTATATTCTTTCTATTTTCTTGAAGCTTAAGCAAATGATTATCTCCATATAAAACATGCTCCCGTCCAAACAATATACGGTTCGGGGTGTATCCGGTGGTTTCGCTAGGGGCAGAACGAATTGCACATCCCAATTCACTTAGATGCACATCCCAAGTTCGGTGGTTGTCCTTCTGAATGTAACTTCTTATCATAGTTTTAATGACCCGGTTGTGACGTTCGGTCGGATTGGCTCTAGGATTGTAACTAGAAGTATAGAATATTTTCGTATGATATAGTTCACATAATTTTTTAAATTCTTTGGACTTCATTTGCGCTCCATTGTCACAAATCAGATAAGCTGGTGTTCCATACGTTAAAAATACATCTTCTACATGTTTAATCAAAGACTTTGAGGTAGCTTTGCGACAAGGAAACATAAAAACGGCTTTACTGAAGTAATCGGAAATCACAAGTATATAACAATTACCTTGTTTAGAGCGAGGTAAGGGTCCAATGTAGTCAAGACTGATGACTTGGAATGGAACACTAATCTCAGGTCTTTCACCCATTAATCCTGCAGGTCTCTTCTGTTCTACTTTATGCTGTGCACAAACGTGACAAGATTTGACATATTTCGCAATGTCGGATTTCATTTTAGGCCAATAGTGACTATGCAAAATTTTCTTATATGTTTTATACGTTCCAAAATGTCCTGAAGCAGGAATATCATGAAAACGTTGGAGAATTTGCTTACGATGATCTTTCGGGACTACCAACTTCCATTCTTCAGACAAATCATTCAATTCTGGTATGACAGACTTCACATACTTGTATAAACGGTCATTCTCAATGCGCCATACAGGAAATTTTTCGGGATACTGTTGTACTTTATTCTTCATCTCAGTGTACCATTTATCAGTGACTTCAGGTGTATATTCCATAACATTGAGCTGTATACTATTAGATTGAACTGGTACTGCTCTTGACAGAAAATCGGGAACTATATTTTCCTTTCCTTTGCGGTGAATCATTTCAAAATCAAATTGCTGTA